AAAACATCCATGGTTCCATAGATATTCTCGTTGTACTGTATTGTACTTGTAAAAAGAACATAAATAAAATATGTTTTATAATCTGAATTCCGTTACAAGCAGGTATTTGGTCGTTCAACGAAAATCCACAAATTAATATGGATTACTATTTTTCTGACTAAAATGTTCTTTGGAATGGGGATACCCAAATATGTCGTCTTTACTCTGAGAGAGTTTTGGTGAATTTCACTTCTTACTTTGATCGTTACGTAACTTTGAAGTGGGTGCACATTACCCTCATTCCCACAGCTCTGCTATGACGGCTGTCTTGGGTCAAATGTAGACAACAAACTATTCCTGTTATATTTATTGCGTTTTCACAAACTAGACATTGAAAGTAAAATCTCATTGATGGAACGCTTCGTGTAAGCTGGCAGCTCTGTTGTCTTTGTTGAGAGTTAAAACAAAAGCGTGTAGAATTGCCGTAATAATTTGTGTAACCCCATGTGTGGTGTAAGCGTAGGTAGACTGACCGGAGCTGACCCCGGTCACGCAGACCTAGCAGAGTACGGGCTGGCGAAACTAAACGACCTCAGATTCCGCGCTAGGGCATTTGCATTTAAAAGAAAAAAATCATAAAAAATAATATATGTTTTCAAATCAGAACTTTTGAATCTTAAAATCTGATAATCTGGATAGGGGATGTCAATGTAATAAATTGAACTAGGCGTTTTGAAATGGTAACTTTTTTCCCAAGAGCAGCTAAAATCGATTCAGACAAGTTGTAATACATTGGAAACCTGATATAACAGGGATGGCGGGAGTAGAGAAAATGTCCTGTTATATCCGATCCCTTTTAAATCAGAAATGCAAGGAAAATAGGCATTTATGGACTAATCCAGCTGTACTTATTCATGGGTGGTTGCCCTTGCCACAAGTACCCACGAACAGGGGTTTTGGCACCAACTTTTTCCTTGCCCCCTTAAACCACATCAGAAGAGCTTGGTCCACAGCATCTGCATCGGGTAGTCTCATCTTCTTTCGATCCAGAGCAAACTTCCCATTGGAGTATGCTGCCACTATCTTCTCTTTATTCTTGACAATGGTGTAAATCGACCCTCGTGGAATATCGAACTGACAACAAATCTCTGCCAGTGGAGCTTGCTCTTTGTCAACAGCCTGGATTATTTCGTATTTTTTGTCAATTGAAAGGCATTTTCTCTTGCGATTGACATCGTTGGTGACACATTACGCGTGCGTGTTGCTAGGTTTCGGGCTAGATCGAGGTCTGCAGCACACCGAAGCCCTCTCTCGCTTCACAAGCTGTGTGTGCTTGCAGTGGCATGGCTTGCGTGGGCTTGCTCCATCAATGCGTTACTCTCTCTCTCTCTTACTTTTTACACATTGTTAACAGCCTTTGTCCCTGCTATAACCGGTTGGGCTCCGATGAGGCCCTCTTATTGCCGATAACTTTTAATAGAGACAAAGAGTAGGAAAAAACGGGGATTTTAAAAATCCCTGTTAGTACCGGATCCCTGTTATTACCGGGCCTGTTATATATGGTTTCCACTGTACATGCTCAATAAAAACCTTTAATACTTTTGCATCAACTATTCAGGGTCAACATTCTATCACTAATATTAATTAACACGAAAGTTTGAGTAAAATTCAAATCAAAATGACAAACTCAAATGATATGCTCAATAAGTTTTTTTTCAATCGTAAACATTCATGCACTCGTTTTCTTTTTTGACAGTTTTGAATCACTTTCACTGTTAAGTGCTGATCAGCGAGATAGAAACTTTGATTTGCAAGGCTCTCTTTGTCAACTCGTCAATAATTGTTTGATGGTGCTGCTGGTAAATCCTGTCTTTACAAAAAAAAATCCAATGGGTTCAAAAGACTTGACTGTGAGGTGGCCATTCGCATTTTTAAAAAAGATGATGACTCGGTCCTGGACATAATCATGGAGTTAAGTTAGGGAAACATTAGTTGTATAGGGTGTGGTTCCATCCTACAGTAACCATGCTACTTCTTATTGCTGCTTCCCCCTTACACCTCACCAGACGTTCTTAAGGACTGCAATATATCGTTCACTCGTTACACCAAGACTGTGCACGTCTCCACCATAATCAGGTTGGTGATTGGTCCAAAATAAATACTTCTTAGAATTACTTGGCCCATCTAAACCCAAATGTGACTCATCCAATAACTATATTTCGGTTATCCAATTTGGGTTTCTTTCAAACTGCTGAACGAACCACTGGCACAAGTAGACACGTGATGTGCTGTCTTTGTGGTCAAGTTTTGTTTTAATGCTATGCGATACGGTTACAGACTGAGATCATATCGCAGTATCTTTCCAATGGACTCGCGCTTTTCGACGAGTTAGCAGTCTTTCTGACATTTCGTGAACAGCTACGATAGAGCCCGTATTGTTATCGATATTTGGTGTCTCTTACAAAACGATTGAGGGCTTGTTTTCAGTTTGGAGTATGTGCTGTTAGTGCGCTTAGGTATATAATCGTACAAAACATAGAAGCGCAGCGCAATGTGATTTTACTTAACTGTCAATATTCAACAAGCTTGGTTGATGAAAATAGAATTTATTAAGGAAATTATGACAAACATTTTGAGCAGACACACTGTATTACCCTTAGCGGGAATCGACGTTTCGTTATTCTTGTATAAAACGAAACGTGTAACAGTGTAACAGTAGTTAACCTTCAAACTAGGGCACTAAATAGATAAAACGTGTTGTATAACATAACGGCAAACTAAACCAGCACACATATCCTAAGAAACTGAACCCCCCCCTTTAAAAAAACAAAACAAAAAAACAACCAACCCCCCCTCCCCCCCACACACACACATACACACAAAACTCATCTGTTTGGCAAGTTCTGTTTCTTCTGACCACCCTTATTTCCCGACTTCTATCTTAATCCGCGGACTGCACTTGTGGACCAAACAAACCAACCACTTTACCCCAAAGTTGTCCCCGATATGCCCCTTGTGACAGCTTCACAACATACTGGAGAGAGAGCGAGAGAGAGAGAGAGAGAGAGAGAGAGAGAGAGAGAGAAT